TTGTTTCAATAAAACTTATCAGATGGCTTTAAGTGAGTTGATGTTCTAGAGGTGTTCAAGTTTGCTGTTGCTGTTTTATAAACCTCACCAGCTGCTTTTTATTTTGAAGAAGTAAAGACGTGGAAAAAATAAAGTAATAAAAGTAAAAGTAAAAGTGAAAAGGAAACTTTAAGAAAAATTTCCTACAAGAATGAAGTGAGGCGGTTACAGATCCTAAAAGATGCAAAATGGGTGAAGCGAAAAGATGGGAGACAGAAAATAGTTGAAGCAAAGGCAAAGGACGAACGTAGCCTTTTGGGCTCTACAACTCCAGTTTTAACCTCATCTCCGTCGCACCGACAAGTAGCTATAGAGGTTTATAAAATAGTAAAAGCACACTTTTCTTGAAAATAAACTCACTTGATGCTATTTGTCGAGCTCTATGTACACAACTAAACTGTGATTAAATAGTTATTTTTGAGCGGACTAAAAAGAGATTGAGAAATGCAGGTAGAGGAATTGCATGGCGAATTGATTTGAACAGCTTCCAGATTCCAAGAAACGTAGCTGTAAAGTTACTGCATGATTCACCAACTGAAATGGAGTCAACGTTATGTGTAAACAAAATGATTAAGGCGACATTTTAGCATTGAACTGATGGAAAGTTAGGAAGAAATAAATGAAGAAATCTGATTTAGGTGAGTCAGAAACGCCGTATAAAAAATGAAGTTAGACAATCAAAAAAAACATTCTTTGATAGTCGGGACTTTTAGCTGCAATATCGCTAGGGATCTTCCTGAGGCCTGAGAGGAACATAGACTTTTTCATAATTCTTTTTCTGTCATTTTACTTAGTGTTACTGGTGGTAATAAGATTATTAAATAACAAAGATGGTAAAGTTAACGATCAAAACGATTGTTATGAAATAAGTTGTGAGGACGGTAATAATGGTGAGACTGGATCGTTGAGAGATAAACGCTGCAAACAAGGTTTGACTTTGCTGCAGCCTCATTCCTCCGCTACTTATATACTCAACCGATCCAAAACTCGGCTCTGATTCACCGTTCAAATAGTGCACTTTACAGAAAACAAAAAATGAGGTCGTTTTTTTCTTTTTTTTCGAAAATTCGATGTAGTTAAAAACTTTGAGAAGCTTTGTCATCAAGTCTTTAATCGTTCCTGCACTTTCTTTTTCCTTCTTTCTCTTTTTTTCTTCTTCTTCATCTATTTCATTTGCTTTTTTTTCTTTTTCTTCTTCTTCTTCTTCTTCTGCTTCTGCTTTTTCTGCTTCTTCATCTCTGGTCTCTTTTCAGTTTTGCTTGTTTTTGTCAACAGCTGATGGTAGTGAAGGAAAGAGTAACAGAAAATAGAAAATACATAGCAGATTAGGGATAAAGCAGGCGTAGAATACAATTAAACAGAGGTAAATTGTATATAGTTGAATAGCAATAGGTAGACAGATTTGTTAGATTTAGTGAGTGAATAAGTGAATATATGAATGAGCTGATAAGTGGGTGAATGCATGAATGGGTTCACTAGATGATGAAGCAAATAATGAGTGGAGATTTGAACAAAGAAATGACGATGGGAACATGATTTGAAATTGTAGGAATAGTCTGAAATTAATAAGAACACAATGCTTAAAAAATCTGTCTTTCTCTTGCAAGAAAAAAAAAAGAAGAAAATGGAGAAAAGTATATTTATTTTTACTTTTATTTTTTTTTTTTGTCAGTATTATTGAGCGCAAAGAAAATGACAAAAAAAAAATGTTGGTAAACTTTTCTCAAAAGTTTTCTAAAATAATGCCCAGAAAAAAGGCAAAAAAAGAAAAAAAAAATTTGAGCGTTTAAATAGTGTAGCAACTAAAACTTTTAGCATTGACACTTCAGAGCAGTACTAAGTTATTTTAGTCAAACTAAGGTAAACATTCGATGAACGGCAAACTTGATTTGTTTTTTTTTTTTTTTTTTTTTTTTTTTTTTTTT